AAAATTTACCGACACACTTCAGACATAACTACTCTGTCCACAGTAGTTCAAGATTTAAGAGAAGTATTTTTGGTCGGTATAAGTTTGAAGTGTTGTTGCTTCTGTGTCTGCAATAATAATCATTCTTTAAAACAGGTGGTTGAAAAGAAAACTAAACCATACATTCAAGTTGATATTGGAGGCGGGCAAACAAAGACTTTTGCTCCTGAAGAAATATCTGCCATGGTTCTCACTAAAATGAAGGAAACTGCTGAGGCTTATTTGGGAAAGAAGGTAAGTTTCTCTAGAACATGTTAAGTATTTTTATTGTTGCTGCTCTTGATTGTGTTGTATAAATGCCTTCATTGTTTTTATAATTTGAATGACATTCATGTATATCAGTTTTAATTACGTGCATACTTGACTGTATGCCAAACCAAATGCTGGGGACTTTACCTGGGTATAAAACTATGATGCCCATCTTAAAAATAAACTGGCTTAGAAACTAAAGTGATGATTTCACTGTAACTGAAATAAGGGTAAGGCCATGTGATAAAAGACAATTACCGTATGTTATTTTTTTTTCTTTTTTCCTCCTTTTTTTTATTTATTAAATTATTATCTGTGTACATATTTTAACATTGTCCCCCCTCCCATACATACCCTCCCTCCCCAGAGTTTTGTGTCCATTGGTTGTACTTATATGCATGTATACATACCTTATGTTATTTTTTTAGGTTACTCATGCAGTTGTTACTGTACCAGCCTATTTCAATGATGCCCAACGCCAGGCAACCAAAGATGCTGGGACTATTGCTGGATTGAATGTCATGAGGATCATCAATGAGCCGTAAGTGTTAAATTCAAAGGGATGGTATAGTTGCTAAGTAGAGAAATTGTAAACTTATCTAACTTACCTGAAAATTTTTTTTTTTTTTTTAATTCTCCTAACAGTACAGCAGCTGCTATCGCCTATGGCCTAGATAAGAGGGAAGGGGAGAAGAACATTCTGGTGTTTGACCTGGGTGGTGGAACCTTCGACGTGTCCCTTCTCACCATTGATAATGGTGTCTTCGAAGTTGTGGCCACTAATGGGGACACTCACCTGGGTGGAGAAGATTTTGACCAGCGTGTCATGGAACACTTCATCAAGCTCTACAAAAAGAAGACTGGCAAAGATGTCAGGAAAGACAACAGAGCTGTGCAGAAACTCCGCCGTGAGGTCGAAAAGGCCAAGCGGGCCCTGTCTTCTCAACACCAAGCAAGAATTGAAATTGAGTCCTTCTTCGAAGGAGAAGACTTCTCTGAGACCCTGACTCGGGCCAAGTTTGAAGAGCTGAACATGGTATGCTCCTTGTTTTCGCTTTGCTGATGAGATCTAGTAAGATTGAGACAATGCATTTAGAAATCTAGACAGTAAGTCAGTATGACAGGCATCACGATAGTAATTATTGTCTTTTATTCTAGGACCTGTTCCGCTCTACCATGAAGCCTGTCCAGAAAGTGCTGGAGGATTCTGATTTGAAGAAGTCTGATATTGATGAAATTGTCCTTGTTGGTGGCTCTACTCGAATCCCAAAGATTCAACAGCTGGTTAAAGAGTTCTTCAATGGCAAGGAGCCATCCCGTGGCATAAACCCAGATGAGGCTGTCGCGTATGGTGCTGCTGTCCAGGCTGGTGTACTCTCTGGTGATCAAGATACAGGTAGGTCCATGTTGTAAGCATCTTCCACAGTTCTTCAGCAGCTTGCTGGCAAGAGTATAATTAGCTGTTGCTTTATAAAGCAATGGAATATGAGCAATAAGGTCACATAGCTAGTAAAGGGTACAGTAAACAAGACCTGGTGCAGTTTTAAGATCCTTGGCAAATATATTATTTAACTGCTTCTAAAATAGTTTTGTATAGAACCTAACCAAGTAGAAAGATTGGGAAGATAAAGTTGTAATGGTCATGAGGAGACTGCTTAGTAGTAATTCTATGACTCTTTAATTAGAAATTAACTCTTATCATTACCTTTGCAGGTGATCTGGTACTGCTTGACGTGTGTCCCCTTACGCTTGGTATTGAAACTGTGGGAGGTGTCATGACTAAACTGATTCCAAGGAACACTGTGGTGCCCACCAAGAAGTCACAGATCTTTTCTACAGCCTCTGATAATCAGCCAACTGTTACAATCAAGGTTTATGAAGGTAATTGCTTATATTTGTTAATATCATGGTATGTGTGTGAACAACATCACTTCTTGCTTTTAATTTATTCTATTGAATTAAAAAGAAATATCCGTTTTTCAGATGGGGTCCCTAACTAGTGTTGAATTTGATATAGTTAGCATTAAAATCCAGTTCTTATCTAGCTTCCTAGCACTACTGCCCATTAAAACAGTTTCTGAGTTAGCTCTAAATTATAAGAACAAAAAAAAGCTTTAAAGCCAGTGAAATTCAATTAAAAGTTAGTAGGAATGCCTGTACGGCATGGCTCAGTGGTTGAGTGTTATCCTATGAACCAGGATGTCACGGTTCCATTCCCAGTCAGGGCACATGCTCGCAAACCCAGTGTGGGGCGTGCAGAAGGCAGCTGATCAATAATTATTTCTTATCATTGAAGTTTCTATCTCTCTTCCTCTCTGAAATAAATATATATACATATATACATATATACTACACACACACACACACACACACACACACACACACACACACACACACAGTAGGTCCTCTGGTTATGTCTGACATCCCTTCCTACAGCGCAACATAATGTGATTTTCGCCATAAGTTGAAACCCACCTACTTCACTTACATGGAGCACATACATAGCGGTAATGAAGTAAAACGGTAAAAAAAATTTTTTTAAGATAACAATTCCCGATCTTTACTTGTGGGAAACAAATAATAAAAAACAAAGCACATAGGTCGAAATGACGGAACTTTTTTTTATATAAATAAATGGGAGATGGTAATGTAACCACGAAATAACGTACATCAAGTTCAGCGTAACTCTAGGACTGTCTGTACATGTATATATATATAAGTATAAATACATATATATGTCTGTATCTATATGTATTTTTTAGGAGTTAGTAGAAACTTAATTCACTTAGTCCATTTGTTGCTTCTTCTAGATCAGTGACCTACTTCTGGCTTGATAAGAACGCCCCTTTCACTGTAGGCTCTGACAGACTGAAATGTAGGGATCCACATGCACTAATGTTGGTCATTAACAAGATTTTTATGTGTCAATTCTAGGTGAACGTCCCCTGACAAAAGACAACCATCTCCTGGGAACTTTCGATCTGACCGGAATTCCTCCTGCTCCTCGTGGGGTCCCGCAGATTGAGGTCACCTTTGAGATAGATGTGAATGGCATTCTCGAGTGACAGCCGAAGACAAAGGTACGGGCAACAAAAACAAGATCACATTACCAATGATCAGAATCGCCTGACACCTGAAGAAATTGAAAGGATGGTTAATGATGCAGAGAAGTTTGCTGAGGAGGACAAAAAAGCTCAAGGAGCGCATTGATACCAGAAATGAATTGGAAAGTTACGCCTATTCTCTAAAGAATCAAATTGGAGATAAAGAAAAGCTGGGAGGGAAACTTTTCCTCTGAAGATAAGGAGACCGTGGAAAAAGCTGTAGAGGAAAGATTGAATGGCTGGAAAGTCACCAAGATGCTGACATTGAAGATTTCAAAGCTAAAAAGAAGGAACTAGAAGAAATTGTTCAGCCAATTATCAGCAAACTCTATGGAAGTGCAGGCGCCCCACCTGAGGAAGAGGAACCAGCAGACAAGGATGAGTTGTAGACACTACTCTGCTAGTGCTGTAATATTGTAAATACTGGACTCAGGAACTTTCGTTAGGAGAAAATTGAGAGAACTTAAGTCTCAAATGTAATTGGAATCTTCACCTCAGAGTGGAGTTGAAAATGCTATAGCCCAAGTGGCTGTTTACTGCTTTTCATTAGCAGTTGCTCACATGTCTTGGGGTCGGGGGAGAGGAGAAATTGGCTGCCGTAAAAAGTGGGTAAAAAGCTGTTTTAGGGCGTGTGTTCACCGTGGAAATGTTCTATTTAACAATTGGGTCATGTGCATCTGGTGTAGGAACTTTATTTTCTACCATAAGTGACACCAATAAATGTTTGTTATTTACACTGGTCTAATTTTTGTGATAAGTTTTCTTACTGGGTCAATAATTTATTTTAGCTTTAGATTCATATGGGCGGGGGGTTTATGATTTTGAGGTAACACTGGGAACTTGTGTAACTTCAATTTAATTCACCCATATCCTCACTTAGGCAAGGGTCATTTCACAATGCCCAAGAGTTTCCTTGAACGTGTTTGAAAAGTCCTATTTCCCCTTATCTTTATAAAATTTACCTTTCTGGTGGCTTTTATTATTTTTGGCTATTAATGATACTTTAGGTTGTTTGCATTTTCTCAAGACTTGTTAGATCACTGATGTTAACTTTACACACTTGAATTCATTATGGTGTAAAGGTATATATATATATATATATATATATATATATATATAAATAAAATATGTTTTATTGATTTTTTTACAGAGAGGAAGAGAGACGGATAGAGAGTTAGAAACATCAATGAGAGAATCATCGATCAGCTGCCTCTTGCACATCCCCTAGTGGGGATGTGCCAGCAACCAAGGTACATGTCCTTGACCAGAATCAAACCTGGGACCTTTCAGTCCGCAGGCCTACGCTCTATCCAGCTCTATCTACTGAGCCAAACCAGTTTTGGCTTAAGGTATATTTTGAATTTCACTATGTCAGAATCCCCATCTGAAATTTCTCACTACCAAGTGCTACTGGAGTGGGAGCTAGGACGGTGACCTTAACCATATAAAAATCCACTGCAATTTTGGGTGAAAAGCAGTCATTTTTGTCATGACCGGTTCAAGATTATTTGGAGTGGCTTTCTAAGCAAGGGGATGGTCATGAATAAGTAGTGTGATCAATAAAGGGCAGGCTATTTGGCACTAACATGATATCCAATAAGACCCAAGGATAACTGTTTTTAGATGGGCAACTGGCCAAAAGGTTAATTTGCTAACTGGCAGAACTGGGACCTGACAGCACAATTGTGTTACTTTGAGGCCAGAACCTTGGCTGCAATGCCCAGAAGCGTTTTGGCTAGGCCTGGAGTAATACTTGTCTTCAGGCCAAGTTAAAGACAATCACAGCAGTGCTGTGTGCAGTAAGTTCAGTGGGTAGTTGAGGGACCAGTCCTTTCCTGACCCCAATGGCTCTCACTACCAAATGCTAATGGTATGCAATCTTTCTGAGGAGCAGCTACTGAATATTAAAAACACAGTTGAATCTGTAAATGCCCACTCTGATTATACAGTTTGTGTTGTACCTAAGAATCATGATTTGTTCAACATTTAGCACCAATCTCACAAGTGTATTGTTGGTAAAACCTTTGTTATAGGTTTTTGCACTGGGCTGTCCCACTTCAATATGTCCTCACCTCACCAAAGTAGATAAGAGTTAGAGATATAAAGTCAGAATATTTTGGAGTTAGTAAAAACAGCTTAGGTTTGCTTTTTTTAAGAGTGACATTTAAAAGTATCAAAAACGGTGGGTTGTATTAGTCAATTACAGTCACAATACAGTCATCGTAGATTTCCCCTTCGGTATTCATCCCACCAAACACAAAACAGAGCAGTGAGTCAGCCTGACTGTCCTCATGTGAGTCGCCATCTTGAAGTCACTCCTTGTCAGTGGAGTTCCCTTTCTCAGCATCACAATTCAGAGTGACAGGATCTGGATCTTCCTCAGAAGTGCACTCACTGGCCATGGAATGACACACATGCAATGGTCAATCGTCCACGGGGTAGGAAAGTATCAAAGTTAAGTAAGGTCCAATGCTGCTTCTCTGTTAGGGACAAAAAAAAAAAAAAAAGAATGAACAACAAATACTAATGGTAGTGTTACTGCTTTGATGAAGTCATTTCCTAAAAGTTTGGTTTTCATTCCCTTGGATTTGGGTGTGGAGGGACCAAGCAGAAACCAAAGCACGGAGGGCACTTTTAAAAAATAGTCACATTTGTTTATCAAGACCCATGGCTCTGACCACATAGCTCAGTTGGTTAGAGCATCATCGTGATACACCAAAGTTTGGGTTCCATCCCTGGTCAGGTCACATGT